CTGTTTCGGAGTTTGAGCGTCCCCATCGCACTTTAGAGTCCTACATATGTATAGATATTTACTAACCTAAGCTGATAACAAAATTACAAGTTTGAAGAAGACGAAAACTGGACAAAACTTATTTAATCTGTATGACGACGAACTCAAAATATACAAGGCTCTAAACATCATGTATATGAAAGAAGATTAAAGAGACATCATTGTTTTCTATGACTATGTTTACTTTAGAAATTAATTATGATGATCCCAGATCAATTTGGTCAATAAAATGATAATAAATAGTTAATAAATAGATATATATATATATATATAGTGTCCCTTCTTATAAACAAGTTTATTGTTACATTCACTTTTGGCTAAATGTTTAAAAATGACAATTGGAGCTTTCGTCTATATATAATCTCGTCCGTATCTCTATGTTGCAGTCATAAATATTCCTGTCTCTTTCTAACTGTATCTTTTTTATATATAGATGTTGACGTCAAATTTCGTATTTTAATCTTATCATGCTAAAGGCTAAGTTGAAAATACAATGAACAGCAGAAAATTGAATGTCAATTTTTTAAACAATAAAATGAAAACATAAATAGATCATTTGCAAGACAAAACATCAACTAGTGTCGGAAGATATTTTTTGCACATTTTTTTTATCCTGACATTCTCTGATCGCAAAATAATTTTATGTGAACATTTTTCAGACTCTCAAATGATTGATGTATTTTGTCTGACATTTAAATGTTAATTCCGGCTTTACCTTGTTTTCATTATCCGTTCAAATAGGATTAATATCAGGAGATAGTGATGATCTTGGGGTTTTTTGTTGTTTCTTTTTTTTTTTTGCCAGTAACACATTTCTTTCTGAGATTAAAGTATGTTTTTATGACACGCAGTCTCAATTTGGAATAATAAAACCACATGACAAAAGACAACAACTGAAAATGTTCCTGACTTGAGACAAATGCGATTATAAACATCAATTAGTGGAATAACTATATGTACACGGAAAAAACTCAATAAAAATGAGTTCAGAAAAGGAAAATACTGATATAGAAGACAACTAACACACAATAAAAAGTAAAACAATGATATTGTATATCGTGTCAAAAATGCTCGATATTTCCTGGGACTATTATTATAGTTAGTATAATAGTCCCAGATATTTCTGACAGCAATTTCAAAGTTATTATTCTGCTGATATAAAATAATTCCGTCCTACCCTCTAATACTGGCGGTTGTAATACTAAATAGATTACGTAAAGAAACCTCATAAACATTCCAGGAAGATACTTTGTTTGTGTGTGCAGTGCCAGAAGATAATTTGAAGTTCCGTTACGGAATATCTGTTTCACAGGTGACGACGGATATGTCCCAATTGTCGAAACCACAATCAAGTCCTCTTTTCCTCGAATGTGATCGACCGAATTAGACTTATCACCGAGTTTGTGAGTTTGTGCTTATGTAAGCAACACAACGGGTGCCACATTTGGAGCAGGATCTGCTTACTCTTCCAGGGGACCCGAGTTCACCCCCGGTTTTTGGTGGAGTTCGTGTTTCTCAGTCTTTTGTTTTGTTTTATTTTATATACTGTTGTTTGTCTTTTGATCATTTTTCGTCTATTAAGAAAAATAAACTGTGGAAACACAGATATCTCTTGCCTGTATGTAATTTTTATAGAAAAATGCATATGTCGAAATTAAAACAGCAATACTTTGAACTTTAAAATATGCAAAATATTCAATTGAAAGTAAATGAATCATGACTGAAGGTACAGTGCCAAATAGTTTCTGTGGAAATAAGATATTCCAAAGCTTATACAACTGCATACCAAATATCATTGATTTATGATAAGTCAGCTCCCCTTAAACTGATCTAATCACAAACTTTAACATGTAAACTATGCTAAAGTTTCAAAGACCATGACTTAGATTACAGGGCCATGCAAATAATCCCCATTGAAATGAGATGTGCCAAAACTTGTACAGCTGCATACCAAATATAACTGACTTATCATTATTGGTTTCTTTAAAAACTGAACTAAACACAACCTTTAACATGTAAAGTATTCAAAGTCAATAGACCATGACTGCAGGGCTGGGACAAATAATCTCCATGACATTTAGATGTGCCAATGCTTATACAACTGCATACCAAATATCATTGATTTACCATAAGTGGTTCTCCCTAAACTGACCTAAACACAAATTTTAACAAATTGTTGATGACGCTGCCACCACCATAAACTGCATTCCTAAGTCTTGCTTTTTGACTCTGTCAAGGCGAGACAAAAATAAGGGCAATTACAAAACTTTCAAATTTTGTGAATAATGATACTGTAACAAGAGGCTCATAGTAGCCTGAAAGGCTCACCTAGTAAAAACATGCCATGTAGATATTTATTTTTCGCCTTTTCGAATATTCAGCTTTTTGAGTGCTCAAGTGTAGGCAAAGCCATTGAACTATTTTTGGTTTAAGGTTGGTTTTGTTTTGTTCAGAAGTTTAAGATTTGAAGATACTTGACCAAAAAAAATAATAGGTTCAAAAATTTTCTATTACTGCAATTACTTCAATAAATGGTAATTTGCTGTTTTGGTCATGTGACTTACATGTATTTATAAATTTTGCCTTGATGATTATTTTTGTTTTAAACAGTTTTTCTATGTAAATTTCAGTTTTCATAACAACAGAGAACTATGCCAAAATTAGTCAAAAACCAAAGTTTTTGTTACATTTTGTATATAGATCAGGCCATTAGTTTTCTCGTTTGAATTGTTTCACTATATCATTTCAGGGCCTTTTATAGCTGGCTATGAGGTATGGGTTTTGCTCATTGTTGAAGGTTGTAAGGTGGCCTATAGTTGCTACATCATTTGATCTTTGGTGGAGAGTTGTCTCATTGGCAATCATACCACATCTTCTTATTTTTACATAGTGTTACAGAATTTGCTCTCCCAAAAAATGTTCAGGGACAAGGAGTGAAAACCTACATCTTTTGACTTTAATAAAATTAGCTTTTATACATTATCATTCATTCTTTATTCTAGCTGATCATGTCTATACATCAAGTATACGGATTCATACAACAACTAAAATCTGAATATTATACAACTGTATAAATAATCTATATTTTCCTAACAATGACCAAGGTTGACCAAGGAGTTCAGTGCATTTTAGTTTAATATACTAAAGAATGGAAAACTGTGTTGAAATTTTGAATAATACAGAATAGTTGATGGTGACTTCCTACTTAGTATGAATTCATCATGTTCATATTCTGAAGTATTCTGTCGCTGTCTTTCAAACAGATGTCAAGGCTTAAAAAGTTCTCATTGCTGAACCTTAACAGTTTTATTTTTCAAAGCTTGACTTTTAAATAATTAGATCTTAAAGATTTGGAATCAAATAAATTCTGGTTATCATTCCCAATGGTGTACACCATGCAACAATGTTGTGTTTCATGAACTACATCCTAAACAATTTCCAACTAATAGCATAACACTGTTTTCATTTTGGTGTACAAAAAATAAAACTACCTTTAATTCTCTAAACTCTGAAACAGCCAATTAGTTGGTCTTGTTGTACACTTTGTGTTGTCTATTTAAGTTTATAATGCTATTTATTATATATTTGCATGCATAGATAAGATTTTTACAAATTCAAAAAATATCCTTTTTTTTGCAAACTTGTCATTATTGAGAATCAAATGTTATCATGGTTACACAAAAAAAAATATGGAATGTTTCAGACATAATATTATCTCACTCATCTAATGACTAACAGTTATCATGTTTTTAAAAAATCTGTTTATCTTATATTTGGATTTCCCTAATAAGTTTACCTATCTATACCTTTTACATACAACATAAACACTCTCACATACAAAATATATTTCTACATAAATCAACACATTAACTTTTGACTATATACAACTTCATGAAAGTATCAAGATGGAGAACACTTATAAAAGCTCTGCTTGTTTTATAAATTAGTTATTTTGTAGTACATCATGTATTTTATCTTATGCATATTCACTCCAATCTTTTCCTATTCATAATTCATTATATAGAAGTCATGTATATGTTTTTTTTTAAATATATCAATCAAAATTATCAGCTTTAATTTGTAAAGATCATTTTTTATCTAAAATAAATATCCTAGAATATTCTCCCAAATGTATGTTTTGCTATTTTCATGTATCATTCTAGTTCTGGAGATACATGTATGAACATGAAGAGAATTGGGTATAGTTGAATGAGATGGTAAACCAACAACAAAAAAAACAAAATAAAAGGAAACAGGACATTTACTGATGTTCAAATGTCATTTATTTATTTTGAAAATAAATACGAATCAAAACAAAAAAGGGGGTATTTGATTGAACCCCAAACATAGCAAGACTTTGAGAGTCTACAGGGGGAGCATTTCCTGCTCTACATGCATTACCATCTTGTGAATCTAGACTCAGATAAAATGTCAAGATAGGGAATAGGACACAGTCGGTAAATCAATATAATTATCAGACTACCAAATCATGAACATCTAAAGGTCACTTTATCATGTTTATGACCTTGAACAGTAAGCATCAATATACAGATCTTTCAACATTACAAAGTTTTAATTTATGACTTTGCAATGCAGTCAATTTTTAATCATGTAAACATGGTAAAGTTATAGGAGGAAATTCTGAAAGTATGATTTTTTAAGAGAACAGAATAAAAAAAATATCACGAATATTATTCACTTTTAAATATGATAAACATATATAATGAATTTCTGTGTAAAGATTAATAGGATTTTACAATGCTAAGAAGGTTACAAAATGTGTATTTTTTTACAACTACAATGTACATGTAAATGGTATAATTACTTATGACAATGTAATTTCAATGATACATGTCCAGCATCAAATTATTCATCATATATTTTCATTTGATCCTTTCTTATACTAGTTTCTTGGTGTCCATTATAAAGATCCATCCAATTGCTTATCAAGATTCATATTTTTAATTAATTATATTACTAGATCTAGCATTCATTCTTTGTTGAAAACAGGAAAAGAAAAAGAAGAGGACATATATCCCTGCAGCTATAAAACAGTTGAGCCCAGCTTGTTCATATTTCTCATGTAGATATGATTGTGTGTGGTTATGGTGTTCCCAGTCTTCTTCTGTTAATGGAATGTCTTCAAACAATGCAGGACTGTGTATTCTGAAGAATACACCTAACAAGGCCTGAAAGTATAAACACGCAAAATGACTAATAATTCAATACAATGAAAAGGAGATTATAATGGAATAATGTCTCTATGAGAAAGAGACCCCAAAGCATACATTCATCCAAATTAGACATCTAAATTAAAACCACTATACTTCATGGCTCATGTTCAACCAATGAAAAGTGTACAATATCTTAACAAGTGGTGAATGTATTAACAAAATTCACCAAGTTATTGATCAACACCTGTCACATGATTCCTTAACAGAATCAACCAAAGCACTTAAGGTTAAAGATTGGAGTGAATTAGCAGTGTAAGGCAATATTTGGAATTAGAGATATATTATTTTGTCCAAATATATACAATTGTAGTTGGTTCAAATATTCTACAAATATAGCCTTCGTATGAGGTCGATACGAGGATATATCGACCTGAAAGAAGTATATTGACTAGGGACGAAGTCCAAGGTCGATATATCCTCGTATCAACCTCACACAAAGGCTACAATTGTTATATTATAATTGTCAATAAGCCAGAAGTAGAACACCAATTCGTTTGATGGGTTGTTTTGAATGTGTCTAAAAATATAGCTAAACATGTAATAAAATTGAGAATGGAAATGGGGAATTTTTAAAAAAGACAACAACCTGACCAAAGAGCAGTAAACAGCCGAAGGCCACCAATGGGTCTTCAACACAGCGAGAAAATCCTGCACCCAGAGGCAGTCTTCAGTTAGCTATAGCCCCTAAACAAAAACGTGTACTAGTTCAGTGAAAATGGATGTCATACTAAACTCCAAAACACATGCATATATATATATGTGACTCTTTCTAAATAAATAAAATCAGTTGGAAATTGGAATGTACCATGTGTACACAATAATATTATAATTATATACAAATGGAGATAACTCCAATTTTAATATATAGCCTTTAATAGCTATTTTTAGAACAAAGAAATTCACTTCTGTCATTTTCAATAAAAGAATTTCTGCACAAGTATGGTTACATGTATACACATAAATACTTCTTGTACATCATTTTGTCATTTTATTCTGAGCATATTCATAAAATTTGCCTTGTACATGTACTTGTAACATAATTTTGAAGGACTTCAGAAGTATGGTGATTGCATTCAACTACAATTTAAAATCATGAAAATGATACAATGACTAACTATGGTCCTCCCATAATAATTGCAGGAACTGGTGACCGACTTGCATGTATTTCCAGAAATACCAAAAATAACATTTTTTGTTAACATGGTCAAATGGTTAAGGAATTAAGTTTATAATGTTACTACAATTATTTTGGGACTGCCAGCAATATTTAGGTGTGTTCAGTGTCTATAAATGATTTACATGATAAAGTAGACTTATCTTCAAAATAGTAAAATACATGTAAATCCCATTCAATGATCATGGTGATTTCTGCCTTTGGACATTGCATTATCAAATATTCAAATCGTGCATATATATCGAACATGTTGAAAACAACTTAGGTCATGTTGGTTGTGGCCTTGTCTGATTTTGAAGGTTTTAAGAGAAAAGTTGATACAAACAATTAATTTAATGACCTTTAAATGTTTTTGTACATTGCATTAACACTTTAATAAATTGCTTCGCTGAGCGCAGCTGGTTAAGACCGCAGAGGTCCAACCCTGAACAGTTGGGGCAAAAAATGGACACAATATTCGCGCTTGATACAGGTCTGAATTTGGATTGTAATTAAATATTTGACACATAAAAGGTTTCTGACACAGAATAACTGTAGTCAAAGAACTTAGAATTGGTTATATGATTTGAATTTATATTCAATTTTTTGCTGGTGTGAATTGACTCCCTCCCCCCATAAAAAAAAAAAAAATTTACCCCCCTTTTTTTTTTTGCTTTTGTGCAATACACTATGCTGTTGCATTCGCTCCCAATACACATTCGCACCCTACAAACCTATAAAAAGGGTGCGAACGGACCAAGGGTGCGAACGTGTGGGGTGCAAATGTGAAAGGGGGTGAATGTGAATGGGAGCGAATGTGATTATGGGCGAATGGACCCGGATTCGTACTGCCTTCAACAATGAGAAAAAATGCATATCGTATAGTCCGCTAAAAAGCATTGATTTCAAGATTCAAAAAGCCCAGAAATCTTAATCATGTGCAAAAAAAATTATACAGAAGTACTTCGAGAAATATCTAGTAGAAACAGACTATGATGTTGTTATTTATGTATTATTGTCACTTTGTTTATTTTCTTTTGTTTCCTATTCTGACATCGGACTCAGACTTCTCTTATACTGAGTTTTACTGTACGTACTGTTGTGCGTTTGTTTTTTCTACATTGGCTAGAGGTATAGGCATGATAGGGGAGGGTTGAGATCTCATAAAACATGTTTAACCCCGCCTCATTTTTGCGCCTGTCCCAAGTAAGGAGCCTCTAGCCTTTGTTAGTCTTGTATCATTTTTAATTTTAGTTTCCTGTGTATAATTTGGAGTTTAGTATGACGTCCATTATCACTGAACTAGTATACATATTTATTTAGGGGCCAGCTGAAGGACGCCTTCGGGTGCAGGAGTTTCTCGCTACATTGAAGACCCATTGGTGGCCTTCGGCTGTTGTCTGCTCTATGGTCGGGTTGTTGTCTCTTTGACACATTCCCCATTTCCATTCTCAATTTTATGAAAAAGTGTAAACATCCATTGATCGTAACAAAAGTGGTGTCAAGTTTGAACCTAAAGATCAGGATTGGGATTTTGTTCTGACTATTAAGCTGAAGGATAGATGGATAACGCAAAAATGGGTTGTTTGGTCAATGAAATGGACAGTCTACTGACAGTTGAGTTAAGGAAGATATATATGGCAGTCTGACAAGAAGATTATCCAGATATCCGTTTAACCAAGTTTACATTATTTTTATCTATTTTGATTAGCAATGATTTTACCCAAATACTTACCAACATCACAACACCCCAAATACTAAGTACTGTACAACAAATGGACAGCTTTGGTCCACAAATTGGACACGAAACCATTTTCAAGAAAGTTTGTCGATTATCATATGATTTTGATGGGCGTGATGATCCACATGCAAATCAATATATATTTATTTCTTTTAATGATAAAAAATATTTGATATATTCTTTGAATGATTTTGACATTCATAATGAACAAAAAATGTAAAGATCAATATATGCTATGATGATTTAGATGAAATCGAATAAAATTACTTCGAAAAATTTGTTTCATAATACTACTCAAACCTTATGACGGGTGTAGTTATGTCACTATTACGGAACGGATCTTTTAATTGACATATCTCGATCAGTTACAGAGATATTCACAATAGTATATTACTCCCTGGAACTCAACTGTTCAACGTGGTAGAATATCTTTTTTTTCTAAGTATGAAAAAAGAAATAAGTGATTTTTCTTTTATTTTCCGCTTTGATAGCTCTTCGTTATTTTCATTAAACGGAGTTGTTTACGGTTTATAGCTTATATCTTAGTCTTTACAAACATAAACGTTTATACCCAGAGACATATGATAATATCGTCAGTGGCGTAAAAGTAGACTGCAAAAAAGGGGTTAAATTACTAAAAGTGACAAGCGAAAAATCCAACTATACTAATAATAAACAAACAATTGCTTGCATTCACTTCATTTGAACTCTAGTGGATAGTTGTCTCCGATTGGCAATATAAATACCACATCTCCTTATTTTCATAAACCTGAGCTCTAATGATTTTCATTTCATATTTTCAATAAAATAATGTTTGCAAAAAAGTTTGGCGTGGGGCTATAAACATATAGTCCCCCTCCCCAATCTCACATGATACGCCAGTGATAGCATTAATACTATAATCTATTTCATCGGGGGGGGGGGGGGGGGGCATTTGTGCATACCATTAAAAGCTTTAATTTGTACCTGAAATAAATTCATATAAAGATAAGACTCTAATTGGTTTTTTTTATCTAATTAACGGTTGCTGGTTTTTTTCCGGCTGGGTCCCCTTTTCTAGAAACGTTAAATGGGATTCGAAACCACGACCACGGTTTGTACTGAATATTTGCATATCATATTAAGCAAACGACACATGCAGGGAACTCATTCCATAGTACATATTTTTCTACTATTATTTGTTTAATAAAATTTTGCATTTTGGTGGTTCATTATGGTGGAAAGTGTTAAAATTCATGCTTTTGTTAACGTTAAAACCTGAAAAAAGCTCAATCGCTGCAAATGTTCTGTATTCCCTATCCTTATGCGTCTTCAAAATCATAGAACGATTAGTCAACATCAAAAAAATATCTGTCGGTTTGATTTTTCTTTCTAATTAGGAGACGACTTGTGCAGATACTATAAGATTAGATACAGATAAGAAACAATAATCAAACCGATGTTCTCTACCACTTGATTCCCCAAAAGAACTAAATTCTTATGGAACCCCAGCTGTTGAGAGGACATTCGCCATTCACAAATTAATATTACTGATGGCTGGTTATAGATATATTTTGAAATGTCAATTTACAAAATAGGACATATAACAAATATACAATTTAAAGATTGTTATTATAGGTTAAATGGTTTTAACCTGATACGAATAAAGGAACAAGTCAGCAGCAAGAGGAGCACAGTTGCACATGAATACCGACTGCGTGCTGAAAATCACGTTCACCAAGTATAACGCTTTAATGTGTTGTCAACAACAACAAAAATAAACATATTGATATCAGTTTCAGAGAACTTTTAGTTTGAATCAGAGATAATTTTTAGAAAAGTTTGATGTGTCCCTTGCTATATAAAACAAGATATTTTAATATACAAAGGATATATTATTTAAATGATGAAAAAAAGTTACACAAATTGTCAAGTTCAATCTACTAATGGTGCATAGTACTTGGGATGGGAATATGTGATTGGTTGGGCGCAGATAGTCCTCACTTCATCCAGTCCGGAACGAACATAAATATTAAAATTCCTTGAAATGTCCATTTATAGTGTATATTTTGTTACAAGTTTTATTACTTAAAAGGAATTGTATCGACTACAAGACTATATTATATGTCACAGTCCGATTTACGGCCGAAATACAGTTTTATTGAATGGAAATTAAAATTTATGTTTGATATGATAATTATGTTGGCTTCAAATCAAATCAACTGAGAGTTCTAAATGGTCGAGTGCTGGGTGATCTCTTTTGCACCTTTATTTGGCATAATAGGTTTTTGTTGTTCTGTATAAGAAAGTATCCTTGACCAAATATTGTATAACCCTCAGATTTTATACCTGCTAAGTCTGATACTCATTGTAAATTAGAATTAGAACTGCTACATACTGTAACAAAAACGGCCGTTTAATAAAACTTGTTGCTATACACTAGAACATGCCATAAAAAGAAAGCCATGAAACAAACATATAGTACCATTACAAACAATATAGATTGGTACAGAATAAGTAAGAAAATGACACAAAGACAACCCACAACAATACTGGAAATTTACAAATGACTTGGAGTAATAGAGAAATATTCTGCCATAGATTCGTCTACATAGTTTTCTCACTTTCATAATCTGAATAATTTAAAGATAGATTCAAGACTCGATTGGAAGAATTGCAACAACAGCTAGATAATCTGGATAATTAAGAGAAAACAAAATGTTTTAACGATATAGATAAAATACACTGAAATATGTAAATCTTTAGCTTTGCTAGAACCTAACAAAAGTATTGGTATATATAACATCTCAAATGATATGTAAAACATGGACAGCCAGTACGGCTGAGAAAACTTTTTAAAACATATCTTGCCACTGGAATTAATCAAATCATGGACTATCACTGCCATTTTGTTTATTTTCTTTTGTTTCCTATTCTGACATCGGACTCGGACTTCTCTTATACTGAGTTTTACTGTGCGTACTGTTGTGTGTTTGTTTTTTCTACATTTGCTAGAGGTATAGGGGAAGGGTTGAGATCTTAAAAAACATGTTTAACCCCGCCGCATTTTTTGCGCCTGTCCCAAGTCAGGAGCCTCTGGCCTTTGTTAGTCTTGTATCATTTTTAATTTTAGTTTCCTGTGTATAATTTGGAATTTAGTATGGCGTCCATTATCACTGAACTAGTATACTTATTTGTTTAGGGGCCAGCTGAAAGACGCCTCCGGGTGCGGGAGTTTCTTGCTGCATTGAAGACCCATTGGTGGCCTTCGGCTGTTGTCTGCTCTATGGTCGGGTTGTTGTCTCTTTGACACATTCCCCATTTCCATTCTCAATTTTACTGTTGGTTTTATCTAAAAAAAAATCCCAGATCTACATGTATTTATATGATCCTAAAATATAAGAGATCATCGTGACCAGTGGCATAGGAAAAGTGTTTATTAGTGTCATATGTTTGATGATTTAGGTTTTTTTCTCTGAAAAAATACTTCATCACTATCAATAAGCCTTTACAAAAAAATCAAGTACTAAATCAACAGAATAATTGATAAAAAAAAGATTTCAATGCTACCTGTATGATTAATTTGATATTAAAATGAAACACAATAATTTGGAATCATAGGGAGGAGCAGTTATTCCAAGAGTCAGAACTTCCGGAAGTAAGTGCCAAGTATGGGTGGAAATGTTTTAGTTATAATGCTGCAACAATCTGGAATGATGCTGCCTAGCTATAAACATTGTCGTAGCAATAAAAAAAAATGATACGAAAATGGACCCAAATAATGGGTCATGATTAGTGAATTGCCTGCATAAAGTGCCTTAAAGCTTATTTAGTATTTCAATAGTTTACTTTCTAGTTGTTTTTTATGCTGCTTGCCTTTGTTTTCTATTTTAATTGCTCAGTATTGACATATCACGGCTAATTTTTTTTACCTTAAAATCATATATTTTATTTTGCGTGTATTTTCAAATTCTTTTTAAGGCAATATTGTTCAATTCTAAACTTTGACTTAAAACTGGGTATATTATACATGTTATATATATGTCTTATATTTATTATGTCCCAGGTTTTAACCAGAGACATGTATATATGTCTCTGTTTTAACTAAGCTTATACAATAAAATTGAGAATGGAAATGGGGAATGTGTCAAAGAGACAACAACCCGACCATAGAACAGACAACAGCAGAAGGTCACCAACAGGTCTTCAATGCAGCGGGAAATTCCCGCACCCGGAGGCGTCCCTCAGCTGGCCCCTAAACAAATATATATACTAGTTCAGTGATAATGAACGCCATACTAAACTTCAAATTGTACACAAGAAACTAAAATTAAAAATAATACAAGACTGACAAAGGCTAGAGGCTCCTGACTTGGGACAGGCGCAAAAATGCGGCGGGGTTAAACATGTTTATGAGACCTCAACCCTCCCCCTATACCTCTAGCCAATGTAGAAAAGTAAACGCATAACAATACGCACATTAAAATTCAGTTCAAGAGAAGTCCGAGTCTGATGTCAGAAGATGTAACCAAAGAAAATAAACAAAATGACAATAATACATAAATAACAACAGACTACTAGCAGTTAACTGACATGCCAGCTCCAGACTTCAATTAAACTGATTGAAAGATTATGTCTTCATTATATGAATATCAGGCACAATCCTTCCCGTTAGGGGTTTAGTATCATACCATCATAACATATATGAGAAGAACATAACCCGTGTCATGCCAACAACTGGTTGTTAAATAAATGTGTTTAGTGCCGATGCAAAGACCCTATAAGTGAATCAATATTAACGCCAAAATATGCAATCTTTAATGACCTGACAACAGTATCGTAACTATATCCCTTCTTAATAAGTCTATTTAAAGGTTTTGTTAGCTTCAGAGGTAATTACTGACATTTTTGTGCTTTATAAAGAATATTTCCATAAAAAATTGGATGTGAAATACCTGAACGTATAAGAAGTCTGCATGTTGAGCTATATTTACGAATGATGTCCTTATACCGATGATAAAATTTAGTAAATGTTTTGACTAGTTTATGATATCGAAAACCCTGGTGTAATAATTTTTCAGTAATACATAAATTTCTCTCGTTAAAATCTTAAACATTGTTACATACACGAGCGAATCGTACAAGTTGAGATATATAAACACCGTAAGATGGTGACAAGGGAACGTCACCATCTAAAAATGGATAATTAACGATAGGAAATGAAAAATCATCTCTTTTATCATATATTTTAGTATTAAGCTTTCCGTTAATGATATAGATATCAAGATCGAGGAAAGGGCAGTGGTCATTGTTAGTATAAGCTTTATTTAAAGTAAGTTCAACAGGATAAATTTCTTTAGTATACATACTGAAGTCGTCATTATTGAGAGCCAAAATATCATCCAAATATCTAAAAGTATTATTAAATTTGTGTATCAGATGTTGTTTCGATGGGTCTTTGCTGATTTTTGTCATAAATTGTAACTCATAGCAATACAAAAAAAGGTCCGCAATAAGTGGTGCACAGTTAGTCCCCATTGGAATTCCGATAACCTGACAATATACGGAATCTCCAAAGCGAACAAAAATGTTATCTAGTATAAATTCAAGGGCATATATAGTATCAAAGCATGTCCAATTGACATAGTTTTTTGTTTATTGCTACTAAAAAATGACCTAAAAGAGTTTGAACATATATATTCACATTCTGACTTTTTAAATGCCCATTTAATTAGGTGTGTGAATTTTTTCTTAATGAGAATGTGAGGCAATGTGGTATATAGGGTAGAAAAATCAAAACTTTGAACAGATTCAAAATCACCAATATATGCATGCAATTTATCAAGTACTTCCAACGAGTTCTTGACACTCCAAAAGTAATTAATTCCACTATTTTCGAAGGCCTTATTTGAACAATTTATTATCAGGTTTTTGATTGTACCAAGTGTACTGGTAAGAAGAATAGACAATTTAGTAGTGGAACAATGGCTTGAAGACGAAATGAATCTATATTTGTAAGGTGTTTTGTGTAGCTTCGGAAGCCAATACATAGTTGGGACTTTCATTGTATTTGGTTCTGCTTGTAAAGCGGTAGCTAAAAGTTTATGTTTGTTACAGATGTCGTTTTCTGAAAATGGAGTCAGTTGGAATGTTGGTGAATTGGTGATTTCTTTTTTCAGAACCTCAATGTAAAATTTACGTCAAACAATAATAATATTATTAGCAGCTTTATCGGCCGGGACAAAAACAAATTCCTTGGCTAGTTCTTTTAGTTTATGTTTGATACGAGAAATAGGTATACAAGCATACAAGCATATATTTAACATTTATTTGACATTTATCTTCGTACCATCCATTACACATGTATAGATTCAAATTCTGTTTTATAAACCTTATCACAGGCATATGAATTATTACAGATTTGAAAGGCTCACTACAACTTGTTTACTAAATACCGACTCAGTCCGAGAAATTTTCCGAATTTTCTGTATTCTCTCTCCCGTCGATTGACTTTATTTTAGTCGCCACGATAGATTTTTCACGTGTTGCACATCGCAGTGCTGTCATTTGTCAACATGGTAGACCGATTGGGTGGGTTGCTACTTAGAAAATATTGCTCACTGTTATTCAGAAGTCCGGAAGAATCATAAATTGATTGTTAGGAGCAGTTTTGTTCAAGTTTTTAAATTCGCGATGATGAATTGGCATAGAATAATAAGATATACAATGATTTTCACATAATTTTAACAGTAAAGTCTAAAGAGTTTAGTTTCACTATAGTCTATATATAGCTATATGTAAGACGGTAGGTCTTTTCACCACCGAACACCACCGCACACCGCCGAACACATCCGAACACATTAAAATACCATATAACACACCTAAATATATTGTTTTCATCTTTATTTATATATTTGACTTGCCTTCTGAACGAGGATGAATATGTTTATACATATATATATACACAAATTAATAAGAAATAATAACAATAGAACCAAAAAGAACACAGTCTTGCAGGGCTTTTGTCAGAAGTTGAGAACAGTACACTTTCAAGTCTTAACATTTTTTTAAAATATAATTATTGTGATAATTTCACATAAAATAAAATGTTTTATTTTATTTGAACGATTTATTTCTAATAATTGAAAAGTAAAGACCATAAGATAATATACAATGAACTACAGACAATGTAAATTGTAAATCCGGAAAAAATATTGCTGGATCCGGAAGCGTTTTTTTTTAATTTTGATTCTCAACTTTAACATCACTTATGCACATAAAAAATTGAAAAACATGACAATAGGATAAAATTTTACATAATTTAATCGATGTTATTGTTTAATTGTGTAACATTACTGTTTTTCTAAAGAGTTAGTGGTCTTTTTGGGTGTGCGGTGGTGTTCGGTGGTGAAAAGACTGACCCATATGTAAGATAAACGCACCGATCAGAGACTCCAGACTATAAATACGGCAGCATTTTTAAGGGATCTGCATAGATTTTTTTCATCATCTGATTTGTTTTCTATGTATGGCATACACACAGACTGTGTACATTACTTGCACATTTTTATAGAAGTAAGCTGAGTAAAATGAACAATACATAGATAAAATCTAGACTTACAAGGAAGGAATGTTTTAAAACTGTTCTAGGAAATACATGTATTAATTTCAGTTTCCGTATAGTTACCTTCCCATTAAAATCTTAAATATTATAATAGTATGATTCAAAGTGTATCTCTGTCAGCCACTGGAATTTGGAACACTTAATCATGTTAAAGTGGAGCATTCATGCAATGAAAACTAAGGAAACAAGTAGGATTTTCCTTTTTTTAAACCATTTTAAATAAGTTTCTTCAACTCAAACGTTTGTGAAATTTGAATTTTGTCTTGCATATTGACATTAGCATGATTAGGGCTTTAAACTTTTTACATTTAGGGCAAAACAGCAAACACTGTCAAAATAATCATGTTAGTCTAATTTTGAGATGTAGTCATTAATTTTTGGAAGTCTTTCCTAAGGCACCGTCCTCCAAAACAAAAAGTAGCACAGGTTAGCTACTAAATCTATAAAATATGTACACACTGAAATATAGTTCCCCATAATTTTCATGTCTGTGTAAATATGCACATATGAAAGTTCTGTGAAAAATTTGTGTTATATCTTTTTGAGCAGTTCATTGAAGTATGTATGTCTTTAAGTTTTGTCAATTTGCAGGCTATTTTTTGTCATTTTAATTAAGGGTAATGATACAATACCAGTATGATTGACAACTGCCATGATACCAAACAATCAGAGAAAAGGTGGGGCCTTAATTACAATGTCCCACCTCCTAAAATGCGAATCATATTGACAAAATTACTAATCATCCTCAGTCTTACATAATTAAACAGACAATTCATCTCAATACACAAATACTTGACCTCATTATTGAATACACAAATGTATATATATAAAATGATAGATTTATTTATTGCCTATTATTTTTGATCTATACTACATAAAGTGATTCTATAAATTATGTCTGAAAGAAAAATGATTTAGGATAAACAAGATTTTTTCAAAAGAAAAGACAAATATGAAATCTAGATATAAAAAAGGTATTCAAGTATTAAAGGTCTATATAATACTTGATAAATCTGTGCAATCCTCATCTGTAATAAATAATATAGGTTACACTTATCAGAATTGGCAATAAAATAAGTTTTTGTCGAGCCTGCGACTTTTGTCGCAGAAAGCTCGACATAGGGATAGCGATCCGGCGGCGGCGGCTACGGCGGCGGCGTTAGCTAACTTCTTAAAAGCTTTATATTTTAGAAGATGGAAGACCTGGATGCTTCATACTTTGTATATGGATGCCTCATGTTACGAAGTTTCCGTCAGTCACATGTCCAATGTCCTTGACCTCATTTTCATGGTTCAGTGACTACTTGAAAAAAAAGTTCAGATTTTTTGTAATGTTAAATTCTCTCTTATTATAAGTAATAGGATAACTATATTTGGTATGTGCGTACCTTGCAAGGTCCTCATGCCCGTCAGACAGTTTTCACTTGACCTCGACCTCATTTCATGGATCAGTGAACAAGGTTAAGTTTTCGTGGTCAAGTCCATATCTCAGATACTATAAGCAATAGGTCTAGTATATTCGGTGTATGGAAGGACTGTAAGGTGTACATGTCCAACTGGCAGGTGTCATCTGACCTTGACCTCATTTTCATGGTTCAGTGGTTATAGTTAAGTTTTTGTGTTTTGGTCTGTTTTTCTTATACTGTATGCAATAGGTCTACTATATTTGGTGTATGGAATGATTGTAAGGTGTACATGTCTAGCTGGCAGGTGTCATCTGACCTTGACCTCATTTTCATGGTTCAGTGGTCAAAGTTAAGTTTTTGAGTTTTGGTCTTTCTTTCTAATACTGCATGCAATAGGTCAGCTATATTTGGTGTATGGAATGATTGTAAGGTGTACATGTCTAGCTGGCAGGTGTCATCTTACCTTGACCTCATTTTCATGGTTCAGTGGTCAAAGTTAAGTTTTTGAGTTTTGGTCTTTTTTTCTAATACTATATGCAATAGTTCAACTATATTTGGTGTATGGAAATATTTTATGATCTATATGTCAGTCACACAGGTTTTATTTGACCTTGACCTCATTTTCAAGGTTCATTGCTCAGTGTTAAGTTTTTGTGTTTTCGTCTGTTTTTCTTAAACTATAAGCAATAGGTCAACTATATTTGTTGTATGGAAGAATTGTTAGCTAGCATGGTTCATCTGACCTTGACCTCATTTTCATGGTTCATTGGTCAATGTTTAGTTTACTTGGTTAATGTTAAGTTTATGTGACAGTTGTAATAAAGCTTTATATTTAGGACTATCAACATAATATCAATGATTAGTAAAGAAGGCTAGACATTTCAGCGTGTGCACTCTTGTTTAATTTGTTTATGTAGAAAAAAAATCATTTTCTATGCCATTTTCTGGAAAATATTAAACATGTTAAATGATAAATATGATAAATTGAATTAAAATACACTCTTCAACTTTTAATCTTCAGTGTCAAATAATCATGTTGATTGTTTTCAAACTCAATAAGCAATTTTAGAGGTGAAATGTATACCTATATTTCAACTTACATGCCCCCAAAACAACCTTTATAGATTAATTTTTGGAGGTAATATAATTCTTAGTTAGCTGGTGGTCCCATGTCCTATAGGATAACGGATAAACTTTATTAGAAGAATCCTTATTTGGTAATTTCTTCTGTTTCTAAAGATAAAATGTAAAAGGTGAAACATGTATCAGGAAATATTATTTGGGTAGGATATGAAATTGCAATTTAAACAAATTGTTGTGCAAATTAAGGGACCCACTATCATTGATTCACATTTAGCTCATTTTATGTACTGAAAAAAGTGCTTATCTTTCTAAAGAGCTGCAGTTAATGCAATTGTCAGCAATAGTGCTATATTATTGGTTTTTTTTTACCATCCATTACCTAAAAATAATTTGAAATTATTCAAACTACTCTTCCAATCTTTCCATGAGAGATTTCCATCACTTTGATTAGATATGAGCAACAGCTTTACCCCAAAAAATATTTGGCTACAAATTATATTTGGCTCATAGCTTTTAAACGAAACCTATGTGAAATGGCAATTTTACATGTTTTAGGTTGAATACATACATGTAAATTTTGACATGTTAATGACTTCATAGTGAAAACACAAGGGACTTTTCTGAACTTAATAGTCCAGATTATATTAACATGATTAACTTGTTCATTTATCAATAACATGAAAACAAGTCCATATTCAGATATTTCTGTCAAAACTAGAAAACTAAAATGTCAGCAAAGACCCTCCTTGCTTTCATTTTTTAGTGTAAAGCACATAGTCTTTGCTGACATTTTAGTTTTCTAGTTTTTACAGAAATATCTGAATATGCACTAGTTTTCAACAGCATTATTTTAAAGCATTCTGTCTGAACTATGTATAGGTTTTGGGTATACTAAATTTGTTTTTCACTTTACATTTTTAAGGTTTTTTGGTATAACACATGTATAATTTTCATGCAAATTTGACAAGAATTCTGTAATGACCTTTTACTTTGAATTTGAGATTTATATGAAATATTAGAGACATAAAACACCTGTGATTAAACATCTCAGAAAATGTATCATGTCATTATGTGTAATGCAAAATTTTCAACTGAGGAAACACATTTAGCCCTTGTGTTTTTGTACATGTTGAGTATATGATACATTTTTTACATTCAATGGTCGCTTAAATAATACAATGTAAAAATGATATTTTTTTTTAAATTGTTACTGGTATATATACATTTGTACACATGAAATTGATAAGATCTGTATATTCTATTTGCATAGGCATTTGTAGCACTTTTCGTCATTTAATTTTCTTTTTCTTATGTCTGATAGGATCAGGTAGTGGGAAATACATGTACTTATACAAGTAGTTTTTTTAATTTTTATATACATGTACTTGAAGATGTAAATAACATGATTTATATTTCCTTGTTTAAGTAATTGTGTAAGATTTTGATTTTGTTTAAACATGTGTAAGGTTTGAATAATCAACATGATCAATTGTTTTGCTTCTCCAAAAAATTAATAATACAAGTAATTTTTTCACCACCCCTGAAAATTTCCCAAGTTTTAGGAAGTCTAAACGTGCCTCAAACCTTTTTTTCTGGTTTGCTTACAACATTTTTACAATGCTTTTTATTAGTCCAACCTTTCATCTCAAGAACTAACCATAGAAATTAGCTACACATGTACACAGATGCTAAGTCACTGTGTAATACATTCAAAAATTGTTCCCTGGAGGCCTACATTGTAAAAAGGCAGTATTTTGAAAATAACCAACAAATGAGATTTGAATTTTCCTTGAAATTATATTTTTATAAGGACAACTATTAAAGACAAGTAAACATTCTATCAGACATATGTTAGAGCAAAGTAATGAAGAAAATTCAAGAAAAGAAGAAAATATGACTCTCATACTTATTCATTTATGAAAGAACTAAACTAAAAATCACCTTCTTTTGCAGCTTGAAACATTTCTGTAAATTTCTTTAAATGAAATACCTTACTGGGACTATTCCTGAGTATACCTATTTCATCACAAAATTCAAATGTAAATAGAAATTTGATGAATGTAACAATTAAGGTGGATAGGGGTCTTCATTAATATCCATAGAATTTTTAATAATTTGTGAAAATGTAGTTTATATCATGCTTTTTTCAAAAATATAATAAAAAGTATGGGTCACCAGGCTTTTTTTCACACTTCAGGTTGTGCAAAATTGTCAGATTTTATATAGATTATGCATGGAAAACACAATTTTGTGTGATAAAAAAAGAAAACTACACCATAGAATTGTAAGATAAAGTATAGAAGATAGCTCTAATAATATGCTTTCAGATAAGAAAAAGAAAAAATGTGGTCACTGGACTCGTTTTCTTGCTACATAATAAAATAGGTAAATTCACAACGTTAACACATTCTATTACAAAAGTTACTTTATCTGAGTTATCTCCCCTTATGTCGCAAAGTTGAAAAAAAAATTAATCAAACAAAAATATTCTTTTTTTTGTATAATACAGGCGTACATATGATAAAACACATAATTTTCTATAGTTACACGAAAAGTCTTACACATGAATTACATATTACTCTCGAAATTTGCACATTTCATTAAAGATATAGACCGATTGTTATCTGCTATTTCAAAATCCAAGATGGAGGAAAACACCCCAGCTACCTTAACTTCCAACCGTGTGAGGGCTGAACAGCCAGTCAAGGTCGTTAAACATTTCCAGTAGCTACCTTAAGATATATATCCCGAAAATATATATTTTTGAGTAATTTATAATATACCAGTAAACTTGTTGAACAAGATTTTGCTTCTTTAGTTATAAAATTCATTCAACAATTAGATACAGTTTTATTTAGAAATTATTTTGTCTTGTTTGCTTTTAAGAATAATTAACAATGTTTATTATCATTATTTTATTCCGTTCAATGCACATTCACAATAAGGAAGAGAAACCAACAGCTGGAAATTCTTTAGCTATTAAAAGTAAACTTTGACCTAAATAATAACAATTATTTTTATAAGAGTAATGTCCCTTGGAAATATTAATTATTTGGAAAATTGCATTGTAAGCCCTATCAGTTATTGTCCTGTAAGCATGGTAAGAATCAATATTGTCCAATCATGGCATGTCCTAAACTAATTTAAACATCATTTGAACATGGTACATGTAGACATAAATATTTTTTTTTTTTTATTTTACACATTTCTCGGTCATGTCGGTGTAAGGATAAAATGCCATCCCATGTAAAAAAAATTATTTTAGAATGTGCAATTTTTAGAGCATGGCACAAAAACTATTTCTTGGACTGATCTGAAAATTTTATTTATCATGTTTATAAACTATCTAAACATGCTAAAAGTTCCAAGTTATTTTATACATTGTTATATGTTACACATGTTTTGGGGTTCTAAATTATAAAAATAATCTTTATAATTTGGTGCACTTTTCTGGATATATCTTCACTTCTTCATCAGATACATGTACACTTAATCTAACATTTGGAAGCCACTGATGTAAAAATACATTGCCACATTAGGAGCTATATAATCAAAAGTAACATAAAAATAATACCCAAATTCACCTAAAGTAAACTTTGCCTGAGGGAGTTGGAACCTTAGTTTCTAAATGATATCTTAATTTATCAACTGGGAATTTATGAAAAGTATGTTGTAAATCATGTCAATACTGGAGCACTGACTGCTGAGCTGATGATACTCTTAGCCACCAACAGTCTACTAGCAGAGGTACAGTGTATCGACCCAGTGCTACTAAGAATAAGACTATTGTAATTTTGTGTGTCCAACCTTTACAAGTCTCATTTGGCATGTAGTATTTTTTTAAGCTGTTGAGCATGATGTGGGGAAATTATTGTAACACATGATTTGAAGGATACGTAACAAAACTGATCATTTTGAAAAATGAAAAATGAAATATATTCTAATTGAATGTTTTTTAGTGAACAGTGAGGCGAATTGCAGAAGAATAGGCTTTATAGAACAATGCTTTGGAGCTTCAGGACAGGTACGTCATACAAACAGTCAATGTACATATAAATATCTATACAAAATTTTGACTACCGGTATTGTGGATTCATTGTTATTCGTTGGATACCAATTTTCATGGATTTCATGGTTAAATGTTCAATGAAGTACAAGTTTTTTATAAACTTATATATGGGGACTTATACAAAACCACCATATCAAATATCCACAAAAAACAAGGTATTAAATAAAACTGGAAATCAACATCAAGTTTAGAAAACCTCCATTTCTTCTTACTGCTTAATTTCATGATGTTAGTTAGATTATTTTTTAATTTGATGTAAATATCATGTTTGTCCTTTTAGTAGATTTTTTTCAAATGCAACCTATTTATTATGATTTAAAGACATATTGTGCATTATAACTTACCTTAAGGAATAAATTGCAAACAATTGATAGTATGACTAAACCTTTTCATGTTATGTAAACATGAAAACTTTGGAACTAAGCTTATTCCATGCATGCATGGACGAAGGCAACTAACGTTAACGAAGTCCATGCTTGTAGGGACTAACACAATAGACTTAGTCCATGCATGCATGAGCTAAACTAACTTTGTATAGAAATTTGAAATTATTCAATTATTCAAGCAGACTTAGTCCGTTAACATTAGTTGCCTTTGTCCATGCAAGCATGGAATAAGCTTAGTTCCAAAGTTTTCATGTTTAAATAACAAGAAAAGGTTTAGTCATACTATCAATTGTTTGCAATTTATTTCTTAAGGTAAGTTATAATGCACAATATGTCTTTAAATCATGATAAATAGGTTGAATATGAAAAAATCAACTAAGAAGAAAAAAATGATAGTAACATCAAATTAAAAAATAATCTAACTAACATCATGAAATTAAGCGGTAAGGAGAAATGGAGGTTTTCTAAACTTGATGTTGATTTCCAGTTTTATTTAATACCTTGTTAAAAGTACAATCTTCATTCAATCCACAAAATTGGTACTCACGAAAATAAATGAACCCACAGTAGTACAAACAAATAGATACAACTAATTCTATAAATAATTCCAATTATTGCAATGAACATGATGAATAGACTCTGCCAAAAATAAACAAAATTGTTGGTTGTTTGTGTTGTGTTGAAATCAAAGTAAAACTTTCCTGATTTACTGCATTCAGTGCACAGCTTTACTTAAATCATCTTTTTGAGTGGTTATTAAGAAATTCGCTATAAGTTTGAGATTTTGTATTTATACTCTGAAGAAAGATCAAACTACAGGTTAAAATTTTGAGCACATTTACTAAAATCTACTGTTGTTTTTAGCCCCTAGCATTGCCAGGAAGAGCATTAGTAGGAGAGGGTGTTTTAACAAAGATGTGCAGAAAGAAACCAAAACCTAGACAATTCTTCTTATTCAATGATGTTTTAGTTTATGGTTCCATTATAATCAGTAAGAAAAAGGTAAGTTGGTTTGGCCTTCAAATTTGAAGTGAACATTTTTATATTTTTAAGATCATTATATTAGACTTGACAATACATCAGAATTGGAAATGACAGAAATAAAGATATACAATAGAAAGAAAAGAAATGTACAAGCAAACACCAGTTAACTTATCACTCGAGAGAAAAATTAAAAGGGAATTTAAAATTTGGTGGACACATTTTCACCCATGCAAATTGAATAGGAATACCCAGTATCTACTTTCCAAAACATTATTTGACACCTTCAACAAGTTACAGTGTTAGTTTTTAGTGCCTACCTATTCCAGATCTTCCGATACAGTTTGTTTCTGGAATGGATAACAATTGATCTGAGAGCATGGTAGTAATGCTTAGATCATCAGAAACATTAACATCATGTTCCATGATGTTGTGATGAAAATATGTGACTAATATAAAAATCAGAAGATATGGATTGATTGCCAGTGAGACAGCTCTCTACCAGAGACCAAATGATATTGAAGTTTACAACTATAGGTCACTGTACGGTCTTAAACAATGAGCTAAACCCATACTGCATAGTCAGCTATGAAAGGCCTGAAATGACAAATGTAAAACAATTCACCAGTGTAATCACAAAACCACATCTTGTACATATTGGGCATTCCAACACTAAAAATGTAATTTTATCTTTTTCACTTAAAGAAAGTTTGATAAAGGTTTTTGTCTTGCCTGCGACTTTGTCGCAGTATGTGAGACATAGGTATTACTATATGGCGGTGGTGGCGTACACTATTTGTTTAAAGCTTTATATTTAAGAAGGTAGATGACCTTGAATCTTCATACATTGTATGCAGATACCTTATGTTACAAAGTTTCCGACTGTCATATGTCCAAAGTCCTTGACCTCATTTTCATGGTTCAGTGACTGCTTGAAAAAAAGTTTCATAGTCTACATGTCCATCAGACATGGTTCACCTGACCTTGACCTCATTTAATGGATCAGTGATCAAGGTTAAAGTTACATGATTAGGTCTGTTTCTCAAATACTATAAGCAGTAGGTCAACTATACTTTGTGTATGGAATGACTGTATGGGTACATGTCAGTCTGGCAGGTTTCATCTGACCTTGACCTCATTTTCATGGTTCATTGGTCAATGTTAAGTTTTTTGTGGTTTGGTCTGTTTTTCAAGTACTGTAAGCAATAGGTCAACTATATTTGGTGTATGGAATGGTTGTAAGGTGTATATGTCTGTCTGACAGGTATCATCTGACCTTGACCCCATTTTCATGGTTCATTGGTCAATGTTAAGTTTTTTTGTTTTGGTCTGTTTTTCAATTATCATAAGTTATAGGTCAATTATATTTTGTGTATAAAAAAATTGTAAGGTGTATATGTCTGTCTGACAGCATTTATCTGACCTGAGTTTCTGTGATGTGTTTAGTTAAACCTTTATCTTTAAGACTTTCAACATAAAATCAATGGTCAGTAAAGCAGGCGAGACATTTCAGTGTGTGCACTCTTGTTAAATTGACTGCAAAAAATTGCGGCCGTATAATGGTATGGCGATGTATATGTCGATTTTGTCCAAAGACATTTGGTTTCCAGACAATAACTTTGGTATAAGTGTATGGATCTCTATGAAATTGTACCACAAGGTTTCATACCACAAAAGAAAGGATGGGATTGATTTTCGGGGCAAACCTTTTTCTGGTTTCTGGACAATAACTTGAGTACAAAAATGTATAAGTGTATGGATTTGTAAGAAATTGTACCACAAGGTTCCGTATCACAAAAGGAAGGTTGGATTGAATTGTTACAATTGACCTATAGTTATGGCTGTAACCATTAGGAATTAAAAGCCAAAAAAGGGTAAAAAACAAACAACTTTTTAAACTTTGTTTGAATTGCTTATTTCTGAACAATTTTAATGGGGTTTAAATAATCCTTGAATATTGGGGTGCTTTGATATGCTTAATCTAACCGTGTATTTAAAATTTTGATTTTGGGCCGTGTTTTCAATTGGGTTCTAATAAGGGTGCAAAATTAAACTTTGATTGATTTAAATATGTTGAATCTGATAATGTATTTAGATTTTGGATTTTGGGCCCATAATTCTAATTGGTCCACATCAGGGTCCAAAGGGTCTGAAATTAAACTTTGTTTGATTTCAACAAATATATCAATCCACTTCAATAATAGTTTAAACATTTCCTACATATACTTAAAACAATTTCCCCCATATTGACATTTCTGTTCAAAGGGAAATAACTCAAACCTCAATTTAATGATAATCCACTCTAAAGCACACAATATTAATGTCACCTTTTGATATAACTTTTCATAACAATTTTAACCACAAATTCACAAATATAATCAAACAGTCCAACCACTTAGAATTACAATTCCATAAACCACAATTACCAATTCATGCCCATTTTCATGCCACAATTTTTATGCCCTACCTACGCAATATTATGTTTTTCGATCTGTGCATCCATTCGTCCATCTGTTCGTCTGTCCGGCTTAAGGTTAAAGTTTTTGGTCAAGGTAGTTTTTGATAAAGTTGAAGTCCAATCAACTTGAAACTTAGTACACATGTTCCCTATGATATGATCTTTCTAATTTTAATGACAAATTAGAGTTTTGACCCCAATTTCACGGCCCACTGAACATAGTAAATGATAGTGCGAGTTGGGCATACATGTACTATGGATACATTCTTGTTTCCCATACTATTATCCTATTTTGCAAAATAATTAAAAAAATCTTCAGTTCATTATAATATAATTTTATCATCCTTTTATTTTAGATATAGTTTTATTCTCCATTTCATTTCCACTACATCATCCATTCCTTACACTGCTAAATCATCAATATTAATTCTAAATGATAACAGTTTAACAATGTCAAGAAAAATTGAATTTCCTTACCTTTCCAATCATCCAAAGTCAGTATGTTTATTCAATCATTACCTGATGAAAAATAAACCTCAACTACCATACACATCTATCTGTACACCACTTGTAGCAATATTCAAACACAAAAAAATATTACAATTACAGCTTAGACTAAATTCCTTTATGGAGCATTTTAAAAACTTAACTAGTATTGTATTCTGTAACAGCAATTCTTTAAGCAAGTGTTGGTTGCACCTAAACAGATCATGAAAAATTGGTCAGCAATGGAATATTAGAGATGTTAATTTGTAGTGGGGACGGAACACTTTTTTCATAGTTGTTTAATGTTGATTTGTTCCATAATTGGCATTTATAAGGCAGTCATTATTTGGACAAGTGGTTTTACCTTTTGTACAAGTGAAATTACATTGACACTTGAATGAAGGGACAATTTGGTTAAAAAATTAAATGTCCATTCCTGAAGTTAAAACTGAGTACAAGGAACTTGAGCATTTTTTAGGAATCAACAAATTGATATTGACTTACATGTTTAATACATATAATTTTTTTATGTATTATTTTTGAATAATAGTAACTGCAGTATTTAAAAGAAAGCATGACATTTATTTTTAGATTTTCGATGTATAATAGGTGTTTGTCCTATCTTATTAAAATTGAAGCTTTTAAATGCCTCTTTCTGATATGTCATGCATGCATCAAGGCAATCTGATTAGAATTTAATCCTTTTATTGCTTATGTATTATTATTTTCAGTATAACAGACAACATTTGATATCACTAGAAGATGTTAAATTAGAAAATGTAGATGATGAAATGTGTAAGTTTAATACAATTAATTAATGTACCTCTAGTCAGAAGGAAAGGGGTATACTGATTTACGTCTTTCTGTCTGTCAGTCCATGTGTCTGTCCCTTAAAACTTTGTTTGCATTTTTCTGAGGAACCAAAAATCAGAGCTTCCTGAAATTTGGTATCAATATTCATATGAGCACAGTATACTGTATGATGCATTTTCAGATTCATTGCTCATCAAATTCCTTTAAATGAAAAACTTATATATTCTCAGACATAGTCACCATATATGAAATCATCTTCAAAAACCATGAGTATGGAATTTGGTTCACAGCAAATAATTATAGAATATTATCTTTTCTGATTCTATTAATTTACCAGGAAATTGTCTTAAATTCCCATTTAAATTGTTAAGTATATCAGTGAGCCCATTACAAAGTTTTGAATTAATTTAGTGGTAAAATTGTTAAACTTTTCTTCAAGGTAGGTCATACACAACGTCAGGAACAGGTATTTGTTATTTGGTGTGTTTTATGTATAGTGTGCTGTTAACATCCTTTTGTTACTTGTTTGTGTGTAGTGTAGTGTGTTATTCTGTTAACAGTTACATGTACTTCAAATATTTAAAGAACTGTTCAATTTAAAAAACATTATTGAATTTGCAATTGGATATTTCCTTTAACTGTTACATTACTATATGATTTGAGTTGATCATTGAAGCATTTATATTCTTTGTTATTTTTAAGATAAAAAAGTTTTAATTTCAAAAAACTTTCTTTTCAATATAAGGATTACAGACTGAAGCTTGGTAGCTGTACTTCTAAAAGTCAACAGATGCAAATGAACAATTTACTAGTTGAGTGACATTTAAAAAATAAATGTTAGTCAAGAGCTTTACAAGTTGAGTGACATTTAAAAAAAAATGTTGGTCAAGAGCTTTAATGCAGGCTCCTAGAATAAAATTATAGTATATACCATTCAAAAGCTCAATATCTGTTAATTATGGCTTGCCCTGGTCATCAAAAAGTTGTACTAGGCAATTTCTGTTAAATTAAGGTTATACATTCCTAAATTTTGCATCCGTAATGTGCCAGTTAACCATGTTAACTTCATTTAATTAAACAAGACAACATACAGGCACTGAAGATACATAGGTTTTGCCACAGTACCCCGGGTTGGCATTGACTATTATATTTATCAACTTGAGATACTGATAATTTTATACATCTTGTAATAATGTTATATAATAATCCAGTCATTTAACCGTGTACAATGGTGATGCAGTTGAAAAAAATCTAAAATACAATAAAGTTCTCCAATGTGTTTAGAGAATTTTATTTTTTATAATGTTTTTTTTTTACTATCTTTATAAATTCAAATTGAAAAGGTTCTCTATTTCTTTAATTACCTCTTTCATTTGACTTTATAACTAAAAGCAGGATTCCAATTTGTGTTATCTCCTATGTGTCACTTTTGGGACATGTATTTTTGCATTTTTGAAATCTTATTTGACTAAACATGCTAAATACAAGTTTATTTTAGCAAAGACCAGTTAAAAATTTCTCTTTTGCAGATATTGGTATTTTGGGCAATTGTATGAATTTTTATTTGCTGTTTTCATAACAATTTGTGTGATTGTATTAAATAACTGATTTCCTTAAAATACCATTAAATAAAGGATTCTATATTGTTTGAGGTGGTTAACAAATGTATCACAAAGGAATTTTTTTTCTCTTTACTGGATTTTCTTCAATCTTTAAGGCATTTTTTTTATCTAAAAAGATAGTATTAATATTTTAAAGTACATTTGCTTCTTGACAGTCAACCTCTGTTCTAAAAGTTTTCTGATATTATTTTATTATTTAGAAGACAGAATATTTAAAACTGCTGATATCTTGTAAAATAAGAAATTGTCTCTTCTTGAACTTTGACCTTAACTTGATTTTACAGAAATTGCACAGTATGATTATTTGACAACCATTCAAAAAAGATAGTACAGATAATATGGTTTCAAATTGTATTTATGATGTGGAAGTATGTTAGATGAGTGCATTCAAACTGAAATTATGTGACTATTGTTAATTGACTGTCCAGACCAAAAACAAATAAATTGAACAAGCCTAACACTTGAAAGCTCAAAAATAGCATGCAGATTGAGTATATTCTGATATTATCTTTTTAATATGTACGTTAATGTTATAAAATGTAGACAACTTGTTGAGAATTTGGGCAAGAGCAAGCCTAATTAGTTTACATGAACAGTGATGAATAACTGAAATGTGTTTAGTTATTTACAGGAAGGGATAGTTGATGCATATGTGCACCACACTGTTTGAATTTTTTTTTTAGGATTCTTATATAAAAAAAACTGTTCTGTGAAGAACATGAAATTAACATGATTAAAACGAAATTCATGAAATGTGTATGCTATTTTTGAATTGTTATAGTTTTCTGTTTTATCAACATTTCTGTAGTTCTGTGATATTCATTTCCATCCTTTTCAATTAATCATGGTTACTCAGGTTCTTTGAAAGGAAGGCCTGTTTTCAAAGAATATTGTAACTTTAATTCTCACTCTGTACAAGATTCTATCACACATATTGAAATAACAAATAGATACAAGAAATAGATGTAACCTTTTTAGCAGCTTCCTCATGATTATAACATACATGAAAAGTCCGGATAACTGCCGTTCTTATTAACTGTGTAGTAGTTCCATACTTAACATTTTGCATCAGTAATGTCTTAGTTAACTTCATGTAATTAAATAAGACAATGTACAGGTTTTGAAGATTTATATATTTTACCACAGAACCCTGGGTTGGAGTTGACTATAATATAACTTGAGATAGTGTTTCTTTCCTGGAAAAAGGAAAGTTTATTTCCTGGAAATGCTTGTTGGAATGATTGATTTCTAAATAATTTGGTGATTTTATGTTTCAATTTTAATTCAAGGATCTTTATGGTAATTTCTTAAACATTTTTGTTTAATATATTTTCTAGAAAGACCTTGAATAACGACTTGTCCTCCAAGTCATTGAATTACTTTAACAAAGTTGAATGCATAACATTTTATTTCCAGCATTTGCAAAGAATATAAAGTCAGAAATTACATAAATGTTTTTACTTATGCTCCGAAAAATCAATAGGATGAATATTCATGATATTGTAATTTTTTAAACTTGCTCTATAATTTTTACTAGTAATATTCTATGTCACTTTTTCCTAGTAACATTCTACTTCATGTACAGGAGTTGTATTGATCAAATTATCATTATTGTCTCTTGTTGAAAATTCACAGTAAAAATGCACTTATTTAATTCTGAATTTCGATAGATGAAGGTTTCAAATTGCATTGAATTTCTTATTTTATGTAATTATATTTTTAACATGTTTTTTCTTATGCTGCCAGACGTTAAGCAAGCAGCAATCAATCAACCTTTTCCACCTTGAATAGTTATATTTTCATTGTATTTCCAGCATTAAGGAATGGCTGGAAGATTATCAGTCCAAGTAAATCCTTTGTGGTTTATGCAGCTACAGCAACAGAAAAGTCTCAGTGGATGTCCCATATAAGGAAATGTGTTAATGATTTGTTACTTAAACGTGAGTTCATTATGGAATAAGGTGAAGTCTTTATTTAGACAGCAACCCTTTAAGCACAACATGACAAGAAGTGTAACATTTCATGGTCAGTGTACAGTTTTTAACAGTCTGTATTTTAGGTTTGAAATGGATTGAAAACAATTGTTAAAAAATACACTTACTTTATTGAATTGAACAATGGGTTTCAGTTTTAAAACATGTTTTTAATTTTTTGATTTGACACAACATTTTTATAGAAAATCACTTTTTAAAAGTTGTAAAAAATGTACAAAATTGTAAACTATGAACTGTGAATGACATGTCAGGGGAAAATGAAATGACAAAATTAATAATTTATGTATGCCTTTCAAAATGACATAGTTTGTTAGTCAAAAAAGGTGTATTTTTATATATACCATGTAAATTTGAAGTAATATACACTACATTTCTTTTTTACCGTTCTTTTTGATGTTGATATAATTTCAAAAAACATGTGAATTAATCGAAAATACAATCTTAATTAAAATTAAATCCTGCAATTTATATAATTAGAGACTGTAGTGCTATCTTTAAAGGGAAAGTTTATTAAGATATCATTTGGAAATTATTTTTTTGTTATTGAACTGGGTTGCTGTCTCATTAACACAACTGCAGATCTCCTCTAGATGCTTTTTATACGCCCGTCAATTTTTGACGGGACGTATTATCGTATACAAATGTCTGGTGTCCGTCTGTCTGTCTGTCCGGCGTAAACATGTTGCACCGTAACCTGAGAATGACTTATCCAAATTTCATGAAACTTAACATAGTTGTTTCTTATGATGGTCAAACGATCTGTATACTTTTTGGTGAAAATAAGATTAAAACTTTTTGAGTTACGGGACTTAGTAACTAAAACAGGTGTGTGTTTTTTTGCACATGTCGCGCCGTATCTCAAAAACAATTTATGATTATTGCTTAAAACTTTGCACACTTCTTAGTTATATTAATCTTAAGATCTGTATACTTTTTGGTGATGATTCAAAATTTTATTTTAGAGATATTGAGTATTTTGTTAAAAAAGGGGAGGGGTTTTTCCCATGTTGCGCCGTATCTCAAAAACAGTTTATGATTATTGCTTAAAACTTTACACACTTCTTAGTTATATTAACCTTAAGATCTGTATACTTTTTGGTGATGATTCAAAATTTTAATTTTGAGTTATTGAGTATTTTGTAAAAAAAGGGGGAGGGGTTTTTCACATGTCGTGCCATATCTCAAAAACGATTTATGATTATTGCTTAAAATTTTACACACTTCTTAGTTATTTTAATCTTAAGATCTGTATACTTTTTGGTTTTGATTCAAAATTTTATTTTTAAGATATTGATTTTTTTTTTTTTAAAGGGGGGTTTCACATGTCGCGCTGTATCTCAAAAACTATTTATGATTATTGCTTAAAATTTTACACACTTCTTAGTTATATTAATCTAAAGATCTGTATACTTTTTGGTTTTGATTCAAAATTTTTTTTTAGAGATATTGAGTTTTTTGTAAAAAAAAAGGGGGGTTTTTCGCATGTCACGCTGTATGTCAGAAACTATTTATGCTTATTGCATAAAAATTCACACACAAGACGACGGGCGTATCATGCGCTCATGACGCAGCTGTTTATTGTTTATTTATGTTGTTGGGTTCCTGTCTTATTGGTGTTTACCCTATATCTCCTTTTATTCATAGTTATGAAAGAAAAATTCTGCAAAATCTTTATAAGTCACTTAATGATGTTAATGGGTTTTTTTTTCATAAAAAGGGGGAATAACACAGAACTCAGAGAATGATTCACCAGTTTGGGTACCAGATTCAGATGCTTCTACTTGTATGCACTGCAAGAAATCACAGTTTTCATTGATCAATAGAAAGGTAGGCTTGGTGTCTATAAATGCTAAAATAGTTAGTTTTATCCTTAAAAATGAATACTATCTAAAAATTACACATATTGCTTAGACAAGACATTGAAATTGTAGGATTAGGGCAAATTGTTTTTAAACTTGTTGAATTAATCAGCTGAAATTAGGTATATAATGCTTTTTTTTATGACAACTTAAAAAAGAGTTAATAACTAATTAAACAAGAGATCTTTGCTAGTTCCAAATACTGTTTATCATTTTTTTGTTATAAAAATAACACTTCTAAATATGGTGCAAATTTTTTTTTTATCATTTACCTTTGTCATGTTCATTAAGAATGCCTAAACCCCAAAAATTGAAAGCCAGGGATTTATAAGTATTTAAAAAAAATTAGCTACAAGTTTAAAAAGGACCTTAAGAGGGGTACCCAACACTAGATAGATTTGGCTCATTTAATTTCCATAAAATTAAAAAAAAATTACTTTGACCTATTTACAAAAATATAAATTTCCGAGAAATTTGAACAACACAATTTACATGAATAATTTCATTAGACATATAGCAGTTTGACAAACACTAATATTGATCATTGAGAAGCTTGATTTCTCTTTTCTTATGGTATGTGATTAAAACGTTCAGCCGTTGCAGAGAGAATTGGAACCTTAGTTTCTTAATAATTTCTAAATTTATCAACAAATAATTTAAGAAAAGTATGTTATAAATCATATCAGTACTGAATCAATGACTACTGAGCTAATGATATCATCAGGGACTAAAAGTCCACCAGCAGTGGCATCTACTCTGAGGTAGAAAATAAAAATAACACTTTATAAATTTGGTATGTCGTAAGCCCGTTTCTGGATTTACCTTTACCAGGAAGGCTCTAACAACAAAATTGTAAGCCAGGGATTTATAAGTACTTAAAAAAGTGATGAGCTATATGTCTGAAATAGACCTAGAATAACCAAATCCATTTAAGGTCTGCTTTGTCCAAGGGAGTTGGAACCATAATTTCTTAATAATTTCTAAATTTATTGATAGACAAGATAAAACTGTATGTTGTAAATGTTATGGTTGAAGTAAAATTGGTTGACAATTGTTTATTTTACAGCACCACTGTAGGAAATGTGGCATGGTTGTTTGTAATGCCTGCTCCAATCAAAAATGGTTGCTTCCCCAGCAGTCATCACATCCTCTGAGAGTATGCCTTACTTGTTACATGCAGCTTACAAAATCTAAAAATATGACAGGTATGCACTAAACAAGATAAATTATACAATCTTTACAACAGCCTAGGTGAATGCCTTTGATAATTTTATTGCAAAGATATGAAAACTCTTGATAAATATGGTCATAACTAAAAAAAAAAAAAAAAAAATTAATAATTTTGTTTGTTTGAATTTATATTAAATTGTATTCTACCTGTATAATCCTTATTGGTACATAATCCGCACACCTTTTTTCACCATGTGAATTCCTATAGTCAGGACCAGAAGAATTATCATCCACATCTATCATCTAGTATGATAATAACTGCAGCTTGGTTACCATTCTCTTTGGCTTAGGTTATGGATTACAGTTCAAGGCAACAGTATAACTCTTTTTAGGTGTCATTTTGGAAACTGATTTTATCTACCAAAATGGGGACATTTTATAATGAATGCCTGCTTGGGTTGGAAATTTACGTATCTGCCATAAATTAATTTTGATTTGAACAAGGAAGATCGTCCAAATATTGTTTTATTATTGTCGAGCCTGTGAAATTTATTTTGCGAAAGTGAGACAGCGATCCTAGATTCCGTTGTCATTGTCGGCGTCAACATTTAGGTTCAGTCTGTGGTTAAAGTTTTTTTACAAATATTTTCTAAAGTATTTAAAGACATTCGTGTGTAAAGGAATTATTGACCATTTACTATCTGTATAGGAGTAAACTTGTCACTGTACCATTTAATAGAGGATATTTCCATTCTTAAAACACTACACATATATATCATATGACTTTTTTTTGATAATTTAATGCCTAGAGTAAGTCTCTATCTGTAGTTATAGGAGTGGCATTTGCCACTTGTACATGATGAGACATTAATGACTGTGGATTCATTTATTTCTGTGCATGGGTACCAATTTTCATGAATTGAGGAAGAATTGTACTTTCGTGGATTCTTGATTTCATGGTTTTGCTAAAGTCTGAATACAAGCCTTCCGTCTGTTTCAGGAGTGACACCTACCCCTGTACATGATGATACATCAGGAGAAGATACGTCTGATGAGGAGGATGATGATAGAACAGATGGAGCAACAGGAGAGGCACAAGATGATGTAAGTTTGTATACAGTTAAAGTCACATACTGTTAAGATGGTTTTTTTTCCCTGAAGTTTAAATTTGGCAATATCTTATGCAGAATTTATTCACAAGGTTTTACTTTCGTGTTTTTCTTGTTTTGTATCTGATTTTCCTTTAACATTCAAATTAATATGAAGGAAATGTTTTCTGCCATTTTAACTTGATTGCCCAATAAGCATAAAAATACACCTGTGGCCAAAATTTCCCATTTTACTGTAGTTAGAATAGTGTTGAATAGGATAAAAATGGGTAACCAATGAGTATATTGGGAAACAGTTAACTCAGCTAACAGCAGTGATAAAATATTCTTTGCATTTTATTCTCAAGAATCCTATAATCTCAGGTTAAAGAAAGATGGTGAATGTATCTCTTCCATATTATGCTCATTGAGTAGAAAATGGTTGGTTTTTTGTCTCACCTTGACGGAGTCAAAAAGTGAGACATAGGTATGCTGTTTCCGGCGACAGTGTCAACAATGTATTAGTTTGTGATTAGGTCTAGTTCATGGTGAACCACTAGTGGTAGGTCAATGATATTTGGTATGCAGTTGTATTAGCATTGGCACATCTCATTTCCATGGAGATTATTTTGCCCTGCCCCTTCAGTCAAGGTCTATTGACTTTGAAACTTTGCTTAGTTTACATGTATAAGTTTGTGATTAGGTCAGCTTAGGGGGAACCACTAGTGGTAGGTCAATGATATTTGGTATGCAGTTGTATAAGCATTGGCATATCTCATTTCCATAGAGATCATTCATGGTCTATTGACTTTGAAACTTTTGCCTAGTTTTCATGTATTAGTTTGTGATTAGGTCAGTTTAAGGGGGACTGTTAGTGGTAGGGCAATGTTAATTAGTATGCAGTTGTATAAGCATTAGCACATCTTATTTCCATGGAGAATATTTGACCCCACCCCCTCAGTCATGGTCTATTGACTTTGAAACTTTTGCTTAGTTTACATATGTATTAGTTTGTGATTAGGTTCGTTTAAGATGAACCACTAATGTTAAGTCAATGATATTTTGTATGCAAATGTATTGGCATTTGTAAGTTTCATTTCCATGGAGATTATATAACCCCACCCCCTCATTATGGTTCATTGACTTTGAAACTTTTGCATAGTTTACAAGTTAATGTTTGTATTTAGGTTTGTTTAAAGGGAACAACTTATGAAAAGTCAATGGTATTTGGTATGCAGTTGTATTAGCATTGGCACATCTCATTTCCATGGAGATTGTTTAGCCCTGTACCTTCAGTCATGGTTCATTGACTTTGAATATTTGCATAACTTACATGTTAAAGTATTGCTATTTTAATTTCAACATTTGCATTATCAAAATAACAAAAAGGTGAGACATATCTCTGTGTTAACAGTTTATTTAAGTAAGGAAAGGATATCTTGACACTTTAAAATTAGTTGATTATTGAGCCTCCCTGTAATCTATCTATATTTTATGTTATTATATCTCAGTATGTTTTCTCCATATAAAAAAGAATGAAGTATTTGTGCTATTTCATTCCATAATCATCTCACAGATCATTCACCAGTCAAGGACTATTAACAACCAGTCGATAATTTCAAAGACTATAAACCAGGTTTTGTGTTTTACAACCATATGTCCTGAATTGTTTTACATTTGATTGAAATGACTTTATTGACTATTCCTGTTGCTTGAACTTATTCACATGGTAAGATAAAACACTGAAATAACTGATAACTGTGTCTGCCATTGACATTTTGTAAGTCTGTTTTCAAATTCATAAATTACTTAGCAGGAGCAATGTTTGAAAAAAGATAAAAAATCTACATGAAAAATTACATTTTTATACAACTTAAACATAATGAATGTATGGTATGGGTATGTTGTCCTCCTCATCTATGAATTATTTGTTTTTACAGATGTATATGTTTAGTTACCAGCAATGATATGCATGGAAGTTTTAGCACAATGATCCCTGCTTTTGATTACTGTAAATTAAATACATACAAGTAACACAAAAGCAAAAAACTACTTTCTGTTTGTGCATCACGTGCATGTATATATATATATGTGTGCGCTTTTTCCAAGTGCGGTATTTTGGATTTCTTTGAAAATTTGTGTTTTTCTGTATAATAAAACATTTAAGGACTGCTTAGGAGGATAATGGAAAGTTTGTTGTCCCTTCAGTACCATATATTACCCTCATCTTCAACTCAAGCAATAGTTGATATATTATGACCAACAAGCTTGCTATTACAAAATGATGTGTATTTGTATAACCATAATTGTCATGTAAATTACATAAATTGTGCATTGTGCATGAATCTGGTATTTGTAATGTCATTGTTAAAGTAATATTTTGATTTGGAGTTATCTTCCTTTATACACAATCAACTATATCTCCAATTCATAGTATTACCTTCCAATCCTTACTAAATTGCAATGTTTTATTTTCAGTTTCCACCGCAAAATAAATAACGCAATCTTAACCCTTCAGTGCTCACAAGCATTTTGATTCTCAATAGTTAATGGACTCTTCTTTATCTTTTCAGACTTTTACAGCATACGATGTGATAAACTGAAATGAAATCATCTCAACTGATACAAGACCACCGAAGAACACAGATAGAATAATCAGGAATTATTTTGTATATGAATAACAGTCTTATAACTCTGTCTGAGACATGTGGATTCATTTTGTATTGCTTTATGGAATTTATAAGTGCTAAAAAACTCCAATGCAATGAATGAAAACAAATACCATAACTCAAACAATTTGTATGGTGTTGTTTTTAATAAATTATACAATTTTCTTGTGAAGTAAAGTTTAAGTAGTTGATTGTGACTTATCTTTTAACTTGATTAAGTGCCGGTCTTTGTATGAATAAGACAATTTAGAAGAATTTCAAAGCATGGCTGAAAAAAACCCACTGATCTAACCATCCTATTTTGAAGTTAGCTGCTCTCAATTGTTAATTGCTGGTGCATTTCAACCAAATTATATCTTGAAATACCAGAACAGGAAAAGAAAACAAATGCTATATTTGTGCACCATTATACATTTTGAACTTGAGCAGGTTTTTGTTTGTCATGTTTTCACCACTGCCTGATTCTTAGGTAGATTTGCACTTAAGTTCTGACGTTTCCTGATCTTTTGCTATCATATATTTACCAATTATATGTAAATTACCCACTTGTCTCAGCAGAATTATGTTTATACACAGTATTGAACAGTACTGATATAAGTTAATGTTATCATGTAAGTATCTTTGAAGTTAGATAAACTGTCTTTTGAATTGAATATAAAAGAGTAGTTCAATGCAAAGTTTTGTAGAACAATGTAGAAGATGTCTTTTAACAAGAACCCATATTTATTTTTTGCTTTTTAATCAATATGTTATGTAAAGTGACATGTTTTTTTTTATTCAATTACTGAAAATATTTTAATGAGCACCTTCATTTGCTTGAAAAAATATACACCTGTAAATTAAAAAAAAATGCGATGTTTGTAATATTGTGAAAATAACGATGGGATAGGTTTCCCAAAAATAAAGGTTTTCCTTTTAAATTTTAATAGCATTATTTGTATGCAGAATTATCTTAAATTTTAATAATTTATGTCGCATTTGTGTCCATTGATCAACAATCCCAGTAATAAATGCATGCAAACATTTTTGAATTCACAGTACTGAGGATTCATTTATTTTTGTGGGTACCAATTTTCGTGGACATTTGATTTCTTTGATTTGCCAAAGTCGGTAAACAACCTTATAGAAAATGTGTAATTCGTTGAACATTTAAATTTGTGGTTTACCTGTACTCACAAAATCCATGAAAATTTGTATCCCACGAATAATAATGAATCTACAGTACCTGAAATTTCATAATTTTTTTATGTTCTTAGTTCAGATTGTTGAGGAGTTCTACATACATTTAACATGTTTAACTGTTCTTGTGTAAAATCATCTTTTCTATTGATAATTTAATTTTGTTTTTTTCTAGAATGTTTAGAAATCTATCTTTTAAATCAATCAATAAGAACTCTACTGCTTTGTGTAACTAGCTTTTACTGCAGTGAAAATATACAATTTTGCTAGAAAAGTTATTGTTAGCAGTTCTTCATGAAATTTAATTTTGTCAAACTATTTCTTTTATAGTTCTCTTAACTTTATGGGGGAAAATAGGGGAACAAAGGATAAATGCTTATACACACAATCAACAGTGCCTAATGATAATTAATGATACGTTGTGGTAAACATCAACCTATTTTTTTTGAAATGGTAAATATTAAGCTTGTCTTTTGCATCCTACAGACTTAATTCCAAGTACTTGTACAAGTCATATTTTTATGTGAATACATATTTTTCTGTGACTACACAATATTTATATGGCTTCATCCAAATAAAGTTTCCTTATTTAGGTACATTAAATGACCAAGAAAAGTGAAATTGTTATGTTAAAACAATACCCTTCAAATGTCTGTAGATATCGTAAGTAGCAAAAACAGGCTGCATAATTTTCTTCAAACGAAAGGTAACAGCATTAAAAAATTATCGATGGAGGATCATTAGTCCCTATTATTATCACAAGCTACAAATTCAAGCTGGACAATTTTTGTAAATGGTTAAATAATTGTATGAACAATTATTCTATTTGGACAATGAACAATTTAAATCTTCTGGATGAGTTATCATAAGCCGCAAAGGTAGGCTGGATAATTTCTTCAAACAGATAAATAAATACATAAATAATTACCCAACAAAGATAATTAACCCCTATAATTATTACAAATTATACTCAAGCTGGAAAATTATTTTTAAAGTGTTCTGAAAACCATGGGAATTTCTTTTTTTATGTTTACTCTATATCTATATATTTTACAAACCTTCTCTTTCAACTTTATTGATGTATAAATGTCTCCCCTCATGATGCCATTAACTGAGTGATGTTAACTTATGATGAATGTGGTCTGTGGTAATGGGCCAGATTACAAAGAAAGTTCCATTTTTCATGAATGCTAAATATAAGGAAAAATAAGAGAAGTGTCTGATTTTTATAATGATTTTCTAACAAGGGACTATTGTGTATATAAAGTCAGACTAAATTCCAGTAATCTTAATTTCTGTTTTTAAAAGCTCCACTGCTTTAATGGCAAATAATTTGGTTAACAGTATACATGGTATAAAGAATTATTTGAAATTAGTACACTTAGCCTACTGGACTAATTATTGAGAGGACTAAAAAATATAAATAGATATTTTTCAAACTTAGATCAAAACCTATCTGGTGAAATTTCAGAAGATTTTCACTGATTATATACATTCAATATTGGAAAGTCAGTTTGTAGAAAATGGTTATGGGTAGAAGTATATATATATATATAAGCAATGTCATGAACTTGAACTCATTGTAAGTAGTGCTATCAATTTCTGTTTTTGTCTTTATTTAAATTTTGATTAAATCTGTATGTTGTTACATTATTTTAATGAGAACATCATATACGTAAGCAAACCCATTTGTATGCTCCAGTTGGAGTTAAAAGATCATTTCTTATCCTCAGTTACTATACATGATCCATTTTAGGTCATTAATATTTTGTCAGATATATAACATTGACCTCATTGCTATGCTCCAGTAGCCAGGTATTAGTTTTTGTATACATGATTGATTTAAAACTAGTTTGTATGTTATATTGTTAATTTAAGAAGTATCATGAGTTCACCCCTGACTTTTTTTGTAGGATCGTATTGTCGTTTTCTGTTTTGGCTGGGTTTTGTGTGGCTTTTTTTTTGGGGGTGGGGGGGGGGGGGGTGGGGAGGGTGTAATGGCAATTTTGGTTACTGTTTTTATTAAACTGAACTTAAAATTTCCTCTTAGAATCAGAACCAATGGATATTTATTCTTTCTATAAAATATCCCATTAATTTTTGAGTGTCTGATGCAGCAGTTTTTGAAAACCAGACAATTTTTGTCATATCATGTGACATTGTGACATTACAGTTAAAAAGCTTTTATACTCAAAATGACAGATAGATATAATTTTAATAATGTTTTTGTGCATAAACAGTAAAAATTGAAATTTGATCCATTCATAAAACATGTAAATGTAAAGAAGTGGATAGAAGACATCTTTCTCTTTGGTAAGTTATAATTGTGCAAAGTTAAATGATTTTTTAAAGAATATTTATAGGGAATTGATGTATTTTATGTAATTCTCATTTGTTATCCTTTGATGTTTAGATATTTACAGTTGCACTTGCATAAAAAGAAATTTGTATAGAGTATTTGCTTTTTTTGCTTTCAAATGAATTTTTTAAGTTCTCGCTTCAATTTTTTAAATGAATATTTTTAGTTCTCTCACTTCATTTCATTTTATAAATTATGAATCATATTTTGCCAAATATATTTTTTCTTTACAATAAATAATTACAAAGGAAAACTATTCATTCACTAGAAATGCATATCATGAAACCAGTTTTTCACCCAGGACTTAGTAGATCTCTTTACCATATTTAAAAGAAATGAAGATTGTTTTTGTTTAATTTAATGAATTAAAGAGATGTGTTATCAAATATGAAACAGTATCAAAAGAAAACATCCCCATGTGTCTTTCAGAGATGTACAAGCAGAAACATACATACTACAGATCTATATTAAATATTTTTTTTTACACTATTTATACTTTAATTTAACAAGACAAATACTGTGGATTAAAAATTTAGTGTGTGCATTATTAAATTTGCATTAATATAAAAGTAGTGTAAATCTTAACACAAATAACAGTAATGGAAAATGTCCATATTAATTTTCATGTAAAAGAATATTGTGATCCTTGGGCTGAAGAAATAAGAATGTATTGGCCTTGAATTAACTTTAAAAGTTGTATATTAGAGAAATATTGTTTGTTTGCTGAAAAAAATATATTCTCTTAAAAAAGGCAGAATTAATTATCACACATCGCATTGTAGCCAGATGATCATTTTTACTTTTTTCATTAAAAAAGGCATATTGCATTAAATTTTGAATCTACAGTCTTTATCTTCGCAGGGCATTTTATCTTAAGGGTTGTTTATACAATAAAGTTTATTAGAATAAATGTTATTTCAGGAAATTCTAACAAATATTATGTAAAACTTACTAACAGTTAAATGCATCAGAATCAGGGTTAACATAGTTCTAATAATTACAATGGTATAGAGAATAACATTCCTTGCTTATAGTGATATAGAAGAAACTAAACAATTTGTTATTTCAGAATCTTAAAGATTATTGTCAATTCTATTTTGGTATATCAAAATAAAAACAGCATTACACTATTCATTAAAACTTGACAAATGGAGTATTAAATACTATGCCCAACCAGAAAGTTTTATTTATGTTCTTTTTAGAAATAATGGTTTTGAAGGTTTGGATTCTGAAGCATCAAATTAAGTGTTCATTCCTGTTATTTGTCCATCTTGTTTGTAATATATGGTTCAGAAGTAATTTATGAAAGTCATAGTTATATATTTTGTACATACTATAGCATAATGTATTTTGTTCATTTCTTTTTGTCATTTTAATTCATGCGGTTAGACAGGGCTAATAGTTAACAAATGTATCCATACAAAACCTAGGAAATATATCGTCTGAGATAATTATTTATAACAGTATACATAAAAGCAAATTTTTTACTTATTTGTTAGTCTGAAAATGATAATGCGTCTAGCTAATTATCCTCTTTGTTATATTGTAATGCATCTGATTAACCTCCTGGTATGTTCGACAAAGTGTTTAAAATGAACAAACTTTTCTAAAATCAGTGGGAATGCATCTTTGAATTACCTTGTTTGTCTGTCTGTCTGCCTTTTTTCCGTATTTTATGTCATGGTCATATTTTTATAGTGCTTTCTTCGATCAAAGTGAAACATGACACATTTTGGTTATAAGCAAAAAATAAAGTGATTTTTAAGCCTCAATATATTTTTTTTTGTACAATCCGCACTTAGTGAGCTGTCAGGGGATAGATGTGGTAATATAGATATAGTTTAAATTTCTGATTGCATTTAGTACAATATTAAAGAAAACTAAATTGATTTATGCTTATTCGGTTTTGGTACTTTAGTCAACTCTGAAAGTTGATTTAACTGAGATAAATTTTGTATTGCAAACTATTATTGATTCGTTTATAATACATGTATATTTTTTTTAGTGTTCATCTATTTAGAATATAAGAAAAGTGCATTTATTGCATAATAAATAAAATGATCTTAATATATAATCACCCAGCCTTTTTCTAGTGTTCAATTAAATTTTTACAAGATACTTGCCTTCGAAAAGAAATTAACTAACAATCAATCTAGAATTGAATGAGGAATTTTATTTCTGTACATTATTCTTCTCCGACTGGGTAAGAGATAATAGTAGACAGGTTGTTGTGTTGGCTGACTGTGCTCATGATCTTTACTATTTTTTATACCTAGACCAATTATATTTTGTTAATAATCAATATAAACATAATAAAATATGCACAATAAATTTGATTTCTCAATTAAAAACTGTTTTTTGTTGATTAGTAAACATTTTTGTATGCATAATGTATGTAACAAAAGATCAAAAGATCAGTTAACAGAAATGTCAAAGATCATTAATGCTACTGAAATAATCAATTATCACAAGTTTTCTCCCTTCCTATACTGCATATAGTAAAATAATTGAAGTTGTATATTGCCACTATATTCCTCTGTCCCATTGTCTGTACACGGTTTAAAATTTCATCTTTTGAATGTAACCTAACATCGTCATTCCCAAAACAGTTTTAATTACAAGGTGTCAAATTAAATTAAACTCCTTTTCTCAATAATTCCAAATCAGCTGATAGCTCTTTCAAACAAAATTGTTAACTGTGTTTTTTTTTAAACTGTTAAGGTGCGTTTACATGATACAATTTTCCGTTCGATTTTCAATCCGATGTAATACCATCGACCAGGTAAATTGTGCTTTCTGTTGCAGAAGCTAGATAAGATAGTCAAGCTATTGGTTAAATACAATAAAAACCAAAAAAATCAGCAACAATAGTTGTAACAGGGATCTTGGAGTTAATTTTTTAGAGGCCAATAAAGATCGTCTGACCATTGCAAAAAAGAAACATTTTAACTGAATTAGAAAGTATATCAAGCCTGTATACACAGTTAGGCCATTAAAACTTTC